TATCACTGATGATATTTATAGCTCTAGGTTTTGTATTTAGATCTTTAAACTGTTGAGTTTGGTTTGTATTTGGTGTTAGATATGGGTCTTGTTAAATTCTTCTGTAAATGGATTTCCAGTTTTGCCAGTACCATTTGTTTAAGATACTATCTCTTTCCCCTTTAATATGTTTTGGCACTTTGTCTAAGTCACTAGACTTTATGTGGATGTATTTACTTCTTGGTTCTCAATTCTGTTTTAATGATCTGTTTCTTTCATTGTGCCAGTACCAGGCTGTTTTGATCACTGTGGCTAGGTAGTAAATTTTGAGATCAGGGAGTGAGAGGCTTCCAACTTTGCTCTTCTTAAGCATTGCTTTGCTTATTCAAGGTCTCTTTCCTTTCTATAAAAAGTTAATGATCAGTTTTTTCATCTCTTGAAAGCAGGGTGGAGAACCTTTTGTCTGCCAAAATTTATAACATCATGGACCATACAAAATTGTCAATTTAAAAATTAGTCTGCAGTCTTTGGTCAAACATTTAATTAACTCACCCCTAAAGTGATGGCTAAGGAGCTCTGGTAGTGTAGTGGTTACAAATCGGGCTGCTAACCTTAAAGTCAGCAGTTCGAAACTACCAGCTGTTCTGTGGGAGAAAGATGAGGCTTTCTGGTCCCGTAAAGATTTTCAGCCTCAGAAACCCTGTACAGGGTCTCTATGAGCCGGTTCTGACTCCACAATATATAACCACCACCACCAATGTGATGACTGGATTCTTGATTTGACACTGTAGGATCAGCACTGGACTGCTAACCACAAGGTTGTTTGTTCACATCCACCACTTGCTTCTTGGGTACCCCATACAGGGTTGCAGAGAGTCAGAACTAACTTGACAGCACTTAACAACATAACAGCAAATGTGATGTCTGGAACTACGGTTGCCTTGGCAGGGCCAAACCAAATGATTTCATGTAGTGCTGTGAGTTAATGCGGTGGACTGCAAATTCAGTCTGAACTGCAAGGTCTGCAGTTCAAGTTCATGAGCTACTCCTCAGAAACCCTATACAGGTTTGTTAGGGGTTGGAGCCAACTTGATGGAACTTAACAACATACGGCCTGGGGGCTGGACAGCCTCACCCTTGCTTTAAAGAATGATGTTGCAATCTGGTTTGGGGTTGTATATCTGTAGATTACTTTGAGTTGTGTTGACATTTTTACAATGTTAAGTTTTCCTATCTATGAGCAAGGTATATTCTTCCATTTATGTAAGTTTGTTTTGGTTTCTTGTAGTAGTGTTGTATAGTTTTCTTTGTATATAGGCCTTTTGTTTCTTTGGTTAGATTTATTCCAATGTATTTAATGTTTTGGGTGGCTATTGTAAATGGTATTGCTTTCCTAATATCTTTTACAGGGCTGTCTTTATTAGTATGGAGGAATCCTGCTGATTTTTGCTTATTAATCTTGTATGCTATCCCTTTGATGAATCTTTCGATAAGCTCCAATTATTTTCTTGCTGAGTCGTTGGTATTTCCTCTGTATAGGATCATATCATCTGCAAATAGAGTATTACTCCTTTTTTCCAATGCATTATTGTTGTTGTTAATTACTGTCAAGTTGGTTCCAATTCATAGCGATTCGGTATAGGGTTTCCAAGGAGTGGCTGGTTTGTTTGAACTGTCAGCCTTGTGGTTCAAACTGATCTTTCAGCCCAGCACATTATCCTGTAGTGCCACACTGGGATTCCAAGGTGGATACCTTTAATTTCCCTTTCTTGCCTTGTAGCTCTAAGATTTCCAACACAATATTGAATAGGAGTGATGAAAAATGGTATCCTTGTTTGGTTCCTATACACAAAGGGAATGCTTTCAGTTTCTCTCCTTTGAGAGAAGTGTTGGCTGTTGGATTTGTATATGTGCTCTTAATTATGTGAAGAAATTTCCCTTCATTTCCTACTTTGTTGAGTGTTTTTATCAGGAATGGATGTTGGATTTTGTCAAATGCCTTTTCTGTGTCAATGAATATGATTATGTGGTTCTTTTACTTTGTTTTTTAATATGGTAGATTATGTTGATTGAATAAACATTTGAATGTAATCAAATTATTGATTTTATTACTTATGGACTCTTTGGTTTTGTCATAGTTTAGGAAGCATTTCTTAGGGGAGATATTTAAGTATTTTTAAAGAGATTTTTCCTTTGGTGTTTGTGGGAAATTGAATTGTCTTAATTCATGGCATTAATTATAAATTCCTTTTGTCTGTTCCAAGTAAATTTCAGAGTAAAAGAACGATGGAAGACCACAGGGTTTGGAATTTAATAGTCCAGTTTAAATTCCAGTTCATACACTTACTAAAATGACTTAAATCATGTTACTAATTTCTGAACTTTAGGTTCTTCATCCACTCTTTGCCAAGCTCTGCTGTGAGAGACGTTATCTGGCACATGGTAGATTCTCAGTGTTTGTTTCTCCTTCTCCTGTTTCTTGAACTATTCCACCAGGAAATAATTTGTTAAATTAACTTGAGTTATGACATGCTCTGAAAGTAATAAAATAAGATTTCTTTTCAAAAGCATTCTATGCTTTGAATTGTAGACAATTCCTGCTGAGTTTCTGTAATTAACTTGAGCTGGTGAGCTGAACACTGTATACTGATTTGAATTCTTACTATTAGTAACAATGTGTTGGCACAGGCTAGATATTTTTTCCCCTCATAATATCTATTTGTGAGAGTAGTATAAAATTAATTTCTAGACATTAAGTTATTATATATCTTAATTCAATTTCCAAACTCCGTATCTAGAAACTTTACTTAAAAACCCTTCAAAAGGAGTCATTTAAAAAAATCTAATATTTTTATTTATTACATTTCTTGAAAGCATTACAATGATTATATTTTATCTGTGTTTCTTTGCTAATTCATGAGAAATTGTTGTCTTAAAATTGGGGGCTTAAGGCCATGTCATAGTTTAAGAAGCATCTCCACTCTATTTGAATGCAGTTGCATTGTCACTACTCTCTCTCGGAAACTTTAGTTACATTTGAGGTCCTTTTCCCTGCTGAGCAATTGAGACTATCTGAGACCTGCTCTGGATCTCAGGATTTTTGAAGTTTAAAGCAGATGTGTGTGGAAGAAAAAGCATCTGGTGAAGAGAACTTGCATCGTTGTGTGATGCTGTTTTCCTACACTCTTTTAGTGGAGCGTCTGTTGAGCAGGTTGGCAGGTTTGATAATTCATTAATGATGAGAGAATGAGCCATGTATCTGAGGAACTCAGTTTTGCCCCCTTCTTTCCCACATGTCTGGCAAAGCCTTCAGAGTTAGGATCACTGATCACAGAGTTGTGTCTCAACTCAAACACTTGTCTTCAAGCTTAATTAGCTCCGAGATGTAAACAGATGAATGGCCTAGAATACAGAGGATTTAATGTTGAGCAATGCAGTTTATTAGAGACTTTTGAAAGTTTTGTTGGAGAATCGCATAGAGACCTAAAATAAAATCTAACAAAACAGACTGTTATAAGTATGTACTTGAAGCAGTTGTTTTATGTGTGTCCCTGTATATTTGTGATTTTTTCTCTTTTTTCTAACCTTTACTTTAGATATAATTTTCAAGCTTGCAGAAAAGTTACAAGAATAGTAGAAGAGACTCCCATTATTGCTTTGCCCAGATTCATACGCTGTTTTAATTTCCCTCCATTTTTCCATTCACCCATGCACACACACTTTTTTCCTCCCCAAACCATTTAGCAGCCAGATAGAGATAGATAATAGGCTCTTTTACTCCTAAATACTAGCGTATATTTCTTAAGAACAAGGGCATTCTTTTAAATTATCACAGTGCAGTTTTTAAAATAATAAAATTTAAAACTGCTACAACATACATTTACAAACTACACTAACTGTCTCAATAATGCTTCTTAGAACATGCATCTACTGTACCAGTCCAGGATTCAATCCAGCATTTTATAGTGCATTTAGTTGCTATATGTCTTCTTTGTCTCCTCTAAGGGGTGTGGCACTGTGGGTTAATGCGCCAGACCCCAAATCCATTTGAACTGCAAGGTCGGTGGTGGTACAACTCACCAGCTGCTCCTCGGAAACCCTATACAGGGTCACTATGGGTTGGAACTGACTCGATGGCACTTCACAACAACAATATAATAATATTAGCTTTGATCATTTGGTTAAGGTGGAGTCCATTGGGTGTCTCCACAGTGAACTTTGTTTTCCCCTTCGTGTTTTATAAAACTCTAGGGAGGGTTACTTTAAGCCTGTTCCTCTTGAGATTTTCTCTAATTGCATTGTTTCTTCGATATTTATTAGCTCTCCTTTGCTGTAAAGAAGAGCTTTTTCTCCTTTCCCATTTATTTGTTTACATCAATATGGCCTTACCTGGTCTTCTTTTGTTCTGTGTTTATAATCTACTAGCATCACTACTTTGATACTTTGATTGACACAGATTTGGCTACTGTTAAGCGCTTCTGCTGACCGCTGTGTCTTTTTTATAGTTCCCCACAATTCTTAGACTGTTTCTTTACTTTATGGCAAAACAGGATGTTCCAAACTCACTTTGCATTTTTCTCTGCCCCAGTCCTGGGACTGACATTTCTCTAAGGAATCCTGGTTCCTTTTCATGGAGAATGGTATTTAGAAACTAAGACCTGGAGTATGTTTGTATTAAAGGAAACTGTGCTATAGTCTTGGATTTACTAAATCATTACATGCTCTGTAAGTTTATGTGTACATATGTGTGTTTAAGTTGAAAGTTTCAAACAGAAGATCATTTATTTTACATGTAATAATCATAAGTTTTGACAAGAAAGAAATACATTTTTCATTTCATAGTAAATGGCATTACACGGTTTTGAATACTAAATCATGTTGACATTTATGAAGGAGCAAATGGAAAATGGGGAAAAGAGTGTGTTAAATATAAAGTTATCTTTAACTGTTCTATTAAAAAGCAAAGATTTATTTTCCATGGGTGATTTGAATGTGCTTATTTGTGTTCTCTTCCATGGCAGTGGAATTTCTGTGGAGTCACACGACAGAGAGCATGTGTGTTGGATATATGTCAGCACAGGATGGGAAAGCCAAGGTAAGCGGTTGAGGGGAGGTGAAGGGAATTGGGACCTACAAGCCTTATAGCCTTTGCGTAAGACTCCAGACAGCTGAATTGATGTAAATCAATGTTTTCAGCCTCTCTTTGATATTCTGAAGAATCTGATTAAAGATACAAAAGAAAAATAGCAAATAATTTTTGCTTTCACTAGAGGAGAAAGGGGATTAGGAAAACCCCTTTTTTAAAAAAAAAAATCTTGCTCCTCTTCATCTCTTATGAATAAATAATTGGAAAAGAAAAGGTAGGATTGTTAAGAGAAAGTGGGAATGAAGTTGATGAGCTTCCAGGGATGTATAGTTTTGTAAGGAGTGCTGGAAGAGCTAAAGAAAACCAAGGCAAAGTAAGCTTAGCCCCTTCATGTGCAAGCACAGATGGGTTGACATTCTTGCACATATAATCTGGTCTAGGCTCCCATGTGTTCTCACACCCTGGCATGGGATCCTTATTGGCAGTGTCAAAGGTGTACAATGTGTCTATGCTATGTATTCCTTGGGACTTGAAATAGTCACGTCAACATACACGCATCACCTTTTGAGTTGCCCAACTTCCCTAGACTCATGATGGTTGAATCTGGAAATAAAATCATAATTTGTGGATTTTGTTCTTTATTGGTCTTATGTTCTTGCTCATAGCAGTCTTCGAAACGGCTATGGCTCATGATGTTAATGTGGCATTAAAATACCTCAACTGCACAATTGTGAAGTTGGGCAGCCCTTTTTTAACAGGTCACAGTTTATTTTGTACATTTGTAAATATATTAATAAAGTAAGGAAACTTTTGATTACACATTCTGATATAAATTAATTCAGTAACAAAATATGAGGAACAGAGCAAGTTGGCAAAGTGGTCACCTAACTAACTGAACAACTAATTAAAATGAGCACAGATTCTACATCTCAGAACTCTGGATAGCAGCTTAGGTGTTGGAGAGGTGGTGTGAGTTCAGAAGTGAGGTCAAGGAGCAGCAAGTACAGCACAGAAACTGAGAGAAGTTGCCATCAGGAGTGGTAACTCATCATAGCCATTTTGGGACAGGGCTGGTTAACGTCCAGAACAGGAAACCTAGAAAGAGAGCTGATCTGAGGAAACTGTAGCCTGATTTTTTTAAGGTGGCACAAATCAACATTTTGAGTTTATTGGTGTCAGTGTGAGAGAGTGCTGTTGAATCTTTCTGGGGCCTGAGATGGATGGGTTCCAAGGGCCAAGGGAATACTTTACACTGATTGGTGACATAGAGAAAAATGGCCCACAATTAAACACCATGGTAGACCCTGTGCCAGGGCACTCATGAGGGAAAGGCATCGAGAGCCCTCAGTCTTCAAAAGAGAGTTATACCATACTACTTACATCAGCATCTGTGACCAGCTAAGCATTCCCTCGTGTACATGTGTATTGAATTCCATATATGAAGAATCCAGAATTCCTGAATCAGTACAGTAAAAACCCAAATGATAAGAGTGACCTCTAGTGGGTTTTGAGAGAAAGTACCAAACCTACTGCTGCGGAAGTTATCCCGACTCATAGTGACCCTTTGGGACTTGAGTGGAGACAGCCTCAGAAACCCTGTATAAGGTCACTATGAGTCGGAACTGACTCCATGGCACATAGCCACTACCACAACCACCACCCAGAGCTGTAAGTCTTTGCAGAGCCAGGTTACTGCACCATTCTCCTATGGAGTGACTTTTCTGTTAACAGTCAGGCATTTGACTGTTGCACTACCAGGGTACCCAATCACAAAAATTTCCCACAAAACCAGAATACAAAATTTGGAGTTTAAAAAAATATATATAACAAAATGGCCCCAAGTGCAACAAAAATTAGTAAAACACATAAAAACTAAAAGAGCAGAAGAGCTAATCAAAAGCAAAACATGAATATATGTGGTAACCACTCTGAAATCACCAAGAGAAACATTTAGGAGGACAAAAGCAAAAAGGCCCATCTGAAGAAATAAGGTAAATACAAACAAAAATAGAAAAATAATAAAAAAGAGAATATGAAGTAGTCAAAAAACAAATTGCGAAATTAGTGAACATAGATAACTTCATTTTCAGTAGTAGCCTTAAATGTATTTTATCCTAAATGCACCATGTCAAAGACAGAAAATGGCAAAATGAATGAAAACACGTGATTCATCTTTTTGCTTTCTATAAGAAACATATCTTAAACATAAGGACACAAACAGACTAAAAAATAGAAGAATAGGAAAAATCCATGTAACCAGTAAATAGAAAGAACAGGGATAACCATATTTATAACCAGACTTTAAATCACTATCTATAACAAGAGATAAAGTCATAAAATAATAAGAGTCCGTTCAGCAAGAAAACATATAAATTCTAAATACATATGTATCTGAGAGCAAGGTCCCAACATAAATGCAACAAATAGTAACTAATATGAAAGAATAGATAACTTCATAAAAATACTAGGAGACTCTAACACACCACTTTCAATTATTGACAGAATATCTAGAAAGTAGATCAATAAGGACAGTGAGAACTTAAATAAAACCATAAGCCAAATGGACCTAATAGGTATCTACAGAACACTATACTTAGCTTTAGAACAGTGCACATTCTTTTTCAGTGCATATGGATCATTTTCCAGAACAGACCATATGCTAGGACACAAAACAAATCTCAAAAAATGTATTAAAATATGGAAATCATTTGAAGCATCTTCTCTATAATGGTATGAAGCTGGAAACCAGCAATAGGAAAAGCAGTAAAAATACATGGAAACTAAGTCATATACTGCTAAGAAACCTACTGGGTTTTAGAAGAAACCAAAAATAAAATGTAATTCCTAGAATCTAGCAAAAATTTAAAAACAACATATCAGAACCTTTGGGGCGCAGCAAAAGCAATATTCAGAGGGAAATTCATAGCAATAAATGCCTACATTAAAATGAAAGAAATAACCAAAATCATTAAAGTGACAACTTGAATAAATAGAACTGGAAGTGCACAAGAAATCCAAAGCTACTAGAAGAGGTAAAGAATAAAAATCAGGTAACAAATAATTGAAATAGAAAATATAAAAACAATAGAAACAACAAAACCAGAAATTGGCTTTTTGAAAGGATCAGTAAAATAAACAAACAACTGTCTAGATCAGCCAAAGGAAAAAAAAACAGGAGAGGCAAACAACCAAATTAAGAAATGAAATTTGTGACATTAAAATGGATCCAACAGACATAAAGATCATAACCGATTACTATGGAAAACTATATGACAACAAATTTGAAACCTAGATAAAACAGACAAATTCTTAGGAACATACTACCTGCTCAAACTAACACAAAGAAGTAGAAAATTTTAACAAACACTGCCATCAACAACAACAAAAAAAGCCCAGGACTAAATGGCTACACTGGAGAGTTCTATCAAGCATTCAGAGAAGAGTTAATATCTGAAAAAGTATAGATGAGATAAGAACACTACTGAGCTGTTTTAATGAAACCAGCATAACCCTGATACCTAAACATCACACACACACAAAATATTGCAGACCAGGGGGACTTCTGGCAAGATGATGGACTAGGCAGATGCACTGCACAGACCTGCTACAGTAAAGATTGTTGTTGTTAAGTGCCCTCAAGTTGGTTCCAACTCATAAGAAACTTGATTTCTCAGAACAGCTGATGGATTTGAACTACTGACATTATGGTCCACTGTCCAGTGCTAATTCTAAAGCACCACACCAAGAGTACACAACAAAGATATGAGAGACCAAGTAAAGCAGACACAGATAAAATTCTGGCACCCTGAACTTCAGAAGAAAGATTAGAGAGGTGAATGGAATGTCTGCTGGGAGGAGAGGTCAAACAGGAAGAGTAAGAGATGGAATCTGACTGGTGAATAGCTGGCCAGATGTAATTCAACCATCTTGGGAGCAGCTTTGGCAGCAGAGGGAGGTCTGGCAGAGCAGATTCATGCAAGTGACAGAAAATGTGCTATTTCTACTTTTTCCCCATGTTCCTCTGGTCACCAGAAGTATGGCCAGCTCCTACCATCATCCACCCCCAGAGCAGAATCTGGTCTCCAAAAATTCAGAGCCATGTGATTAGGAGCCACAGCCACAACAGCATGAGGTGGGGGCTGACTGTGCCGCTTGGGTACCTGGATTCATGTGGGCTTGGCACCGGCCTACAAAACCCACAGAGCCACTATACCAGCATGAACTAGACATGCTCCCCCCAGCTTTCCTGTGGTCCTAACCGACACTGAAACCAGTTCCATCAAGTGCCCCCATGAATTAATTTCACATCCAGTGTCCTGAGCATAATAGGAACTCTTTCTAGGGCTAGGAACTCAGCTGTCACATCTCTTTGATAATCACCCCATGAGCTCTTTGATTTCCAGGAGCCCACCAGCGATTTTTCTCTTTTGGGTCCCAAGACTACATTTTTTTCTTTTTCATATATGACAACCCCACAGTGTCCTAGATACAACAGACAATTTTAGTTCATGTGAAAAACAAAAGGGACTGGCTCAAACAGATGATCAGGATGTAGATCCAGAAAACATTTCTGTGGAAGAAAAGATACTGTAACTAACTGAAAAAAGGATTCAAAAGAATGCTAATAGATACCTTCAAATGATCGATAGGTTAAAAAAAACAAGGGAACCACAATACAAACTTTAGAGTAATTCAGGAAAACACAACAAGAACAAAATAGATGCAAATTTTGAAACAAATAAAACCTGCAATTAGAAATCCAGAATATTAATACTAACATCTCAGATAGGGACAATACATTGAAAGGCAAAGGAGTAGATGTGAATCAATGGAAGCACGAATTAGTGAGCTTGAAGATAAATCTGTCAATACTAGTATGCTAGAAAAACAATCAGAAAAAAGAATGAAAAAGCTCCCCCCCCCCCAAAAAAAAAAACAAAAACCTAAGAGTTACGTGGGACACCATGAAGAGTAACAACTTATCAGTGATTGAAATTCCATAACAGGAA